TCAGTAGGTTCCTCGAGGAAAAATTCCCTGTATAGAAGAGCGACGCCGAATTACTTACAGGCACTTTTGGGTGAAAAATCACCCACTGGCAGTGTTGCACACTTCCTTGTTCGTGACTGGTGAAAAATGATTACCATACACTTCTTCTCAAGTGTTTTGAAATCTCTCTCAAAACGATATAATTTGGTAACATAGCTCCACGCAGAAGTGGCTAGGGCGAAAAAAACCGTGTAACTGACAAGTCTGTAATGTCGAAGCGCCTGTTTTGCACTATATGAGCGCCATATAAGACCTCATGAAAGGCTTAAAGCATGTTGTCAGATTACATTTATTCCACAGCTTGATATCAATTCAAAACTGGCAGCTCTATCAGCGTACGTTCAAGCACTGAAGAAGGCATTGTCGATGAAACGTCAGGCACGATTTGAATTTAATGATAATGCAACAACAACTGTCAAGCTCGCGTTGGCTGGAAAAAAGATAAGTTTTTGTCTCTTAATTCGACTACTTTTATAGACAGCGCTAAAAACAATGACAACCTGATGGTATGAAAACATGTTTTGAGTCTTTTATGAGGTTTGGTATGACACTCACAAAGTACTGGACAGGTGCTTGTTTCGCTTTTCCAGCCTCCTCAGTGGACTGACTTGACTCACGTAGCTTACGGTGATTTGTTACTCGGGATCGATTCCTTTATAAGTATGGGTATATCCCAATGCAGGAGAACGGCTGAACCGAAACGAAGGTCATCGTGCAATTTAGGAGCTGGAAAGGCAGAACAGGCACCTGCCTAGTACTTTATAAGTGCCATTCTGTGACAAGACTCAAAAGATGTTATCATTTTATCAGAATTATAGTAAGTCTTCGCTACTCACATATACTTAGTAAAGTTACTCTTAACTGTTCCTCGAATATGCCTAATGGTTTTTGTTACGCGTTCAGTATCTTGCTCCGTAACACAGAGCTTCTAGTTTGAAATTTATATAGTCAGTTTGTAGCTTTTAGATCTCAGATATTGTGCTAAAGATAACTTGCGGAAACTTTCAATTTCACGCTTGATAATGTATAAAGAAAGTGATTTGAATGAGTTCAGTGCGCAGAACTTTGAGGGTAGTAAATTGTACTTCCATTGAAAGTTACTACAATGAGTCGTAGCGGTCGTAGTGAGTGAGAGAGAACAAAAAAAAAATTATCGCAGAGCTTCTTTGCTCAAGTATCACCAACATTTGATGTGATATACATATTATCATTGTTAAAAACACTTTGCATTAAGAAGTATTGTTTTGACACTCGTAAGATGCTGAGATACGAAAAATCGTGAGGTCTTATATAATTTTAAACCCGCGAATATCTCTTCCAGGAACTTACTGGTTACCCAATCGTTCATTCAAGTCTCTGGGTCTACTGTTCCCTTCTCAGTAATGTATTAAGCGTATAGGCGGTGCCCAGCAATAGCCCTTCAACACGATCGATATGAGTAGTTTATATCATTACTGAATCCGATGGATAACACAACATCAGACCTTCATTTGGTATCAGTTTAAGGTAGTACAAACAATCAAAAATACATGTATAGCTGCAGATAATTCGCGTGTGTCTGGAGCGCATAGACTTATTGCAAAAAAGGAAAGTAATATATAGCGAGCAACCCGGGAAATCCGCATGCTCCGAAGTAGGTGAATGCGCCCTCATTAGGTTTTTCTACCGCAGAACATCGAAATAACTCTTACCCTGTTCATTCATTTCCATTTTAATGGCACCAATCTTAAATTCCTTAGAAGTTATCCTATTTAATTTTTGATGCCGTACTTTAAAATAGGATGAAATTGATAAATTTAGTTTGCGCTATTAAGAATATAGTGCATGATTAATGTCGCCAGATGTGTTGTCAGTGCTCTCACTCGTCACAGCCGATCAGAATTTCGCAACTCAAAAGTGCTTTCTCTTCCTGAAACTTTTCTGCACTCGTTTATTCTAGAACTGAAATAACATATTAGGTCTGTTGTGGACACTCATACAGTGCAAAGCAATGTCTCGGCTTCACAGCTTCGTCACTCGCACGGTATCTATTGTTCGCGGTTCCGCGAGAGATCCCCCCTTTACACAGAGGCCGACGCTATACTATTTACCCGTGGCCTTTGATAAAAAGATTACCCAACGGCCAGGGATATACTACCTAATGCTCTTGGCTGGTAAAACACTGTTTTGAGCGATGGCTCGAAAACACTCGAAACTAAACGTATGACATTCTTGAACTGTCATAACACATTATTTTCTTGGGTTACATAAATGAAACCACTTCCTTGGGGTACATTATACCCGCAGATTTGCGAATCAGTATGCTAACCAAAAATCAATAAGGGGCTGGGAATCGCACTCCAGTGAGAATGCCGCGCCCGCCTCAAGCGCGTCCTCGCGACGCCATCGATCTCCATCGGACGTCGGTGGGCGCTCGACTACACCCTCCCCTTATAAATTTCCTTATAAAAGGGTGCTTTCGAGTGAACTTCTCATTCGAGAGTGCCTCTATATTGGAGGAATCCCCTGTTACGACCCCATTAGAGTGACTCAACTCACGCCAGCCAGCGGTTGCGAGAGGCATGTGATTACTCAACTTTGACAACACAGTTTTATAGTAGAAGGGCTTTTCAAAGCTCGTTTCCCTTTCTAGATCTGGATGTCTTTACTGTTTTCGCTCTTGGTTAATCGGTCCTTTCTGAGTAAGAGAGGGAAGGCAAATCAAAATTCGATCTCATTCGCCAGAAAGGAACTTTTCATGGAAGTGTTAGTATTCATTCGAAAGCTGAAACCTGAGTCTACAGCCCCACATCGTGGTTTTTGGAAAAGATTTTTTTGACATTGCAATAGGAAATAATTTCCTGGCTTCGGACAATCGTATTTCTTGCCGGACGAAGCTTTTTCTGGACTGTTATTATCATTCGATAGCGTAATCAAATTCAATTCTAACGCTGTGCTTATGTCCTGAAAAGACCATTTCTCTAAAACGCAGCACGTAAAATGATTTGGATTCCCATCTGCGATCAGTGCGCTCCTTCGCCAACTCACGTGTGTGTGCATGAGATGGCCACGTGAATTGCTGACTCAATACTTCTCTACTCTTTCATATGCCCAAAAATCAATGATCATCGCCTCGTCGAACGTGGCTATCTCCATCAGCCACGCACACCCAAATGAATTGCCGAATGGGGCCTTTACTTGCAGATGTGAGGTCAATTTATTTAGCCTGTTGCGTTTCAGAAAAACTGTCTTTTCAGGACATAAGCACAATGTTCGAATCAAACTCGATTACGCTACCGAACAATTGCAAATAGTCCATAGAAAAAGCACTATCCTTGGAGAAATATGCGCATCTGAAACATAGCTTTGTGTCGATTTATAGAGCATTATAATAAAATGGTGTTTGACAAGTCGGAGATTCGAGGCTGTAGCCTGATGTCTCAGCTTTCGAATGGTTACTAACACTCCTATGAAGAGTTCCTCTCCATTGAATGAGGTCGGTTTTTCAGTTGTCCCCTCCTCATCAGAAAGAGCTGGTTATTCATTGAAATTGACTCTTAAGGTCCACCATTCTTAATACACAGGACATAACACACTATTCCTTCTTTCCAATAAGTTGTGATTATCCATCTCAACACATGATGCTTAACCTTTCGGGGGCGGCACCTTTTTTGTTTTTCTCCAAAGCTACTAGTAATTATTCGATATCTTAAGTCTCGTTAACTTTATTCCCATTTTTGCTTTCTTGAAAGACTCGTTAGTGCGTTTAGCAACCAAGAACAAATTACGTTTAACTCGGCAACTGTTACTTGACGACTGGCGTCTATGCTTGGTTTCTTCACAAGATAATTAATACTCATTTGATAGCCTATATCTCGTTAATTTCTAATCCAATTTGTTTTTGAAAGGGCCTATTGTTTCGCACTGTATGGTTTGCGAACCAAAGCCATACTGGCATGTTGACCCGTTTGGGACGACAATAGAGATTACTGCGCGCAGCTCTAATCTTGTTGTGAGGCACGACTTTTGTTATTTAATTGGGTTTTTTCCTTTTAGGAAGGATTTTTTGATTTCTCGTTTTACCATGATATATCACCGTTTACTCCACACGCTCTTATGCTTTTGTGCCGTTTATAGCTCTTATGATCAAATCAAATCCTTTTTATTCGACCGCTTTGAACTGTGCTATGGTATTGCAGATATACCCAGTGATGCGAAGTGGTGTGCAAAACTTTGCGTTAGGCGGGATTCAAGCTCGCATCTCATTCTATCCGGGAGTGCGTGCTCTAACCTGTTACACTACTGACTCCCATTTTGACATCACTCTTTCTACGCTGCAACGCATCTATCTTCGGCAACCAATTGCCAACGGTTTGGTTCAGGTAGTCGGTATCGACCTTGAGCTCAGTCAAGCTGACTGATATTGAGTATTGGATGATCAAGTCCAGTTCTTTTCAGATGGCCGCTTTTAGCGGTGATATGATGTCAGAGATAGAGACAGATAGACGTGTTGTAGCGTAGAAAGAGTGACGACAAAGCGAGCGTCAGCAGTGCACCGGATTAGAGCACGTGATCTAGGGTAGAGAGAGATCTGAATTTGAAATTGAATTGACGCAAAAGTTTTCACATCACTCTACATCACTGGCTACGGCTCTTATGTGTAGAAAAAAGTTGAGATGCTTGAGAATTATACTGTTTTTATAATTCAATCAACTGTAATAAGTATTTCAATTTTTTTACGATATTCACCTGCAGGTTTTAGTACATATCCTCATATACAGTGCTTAAAAGTCATCACAGCAGTTGAATATCAAAAAAAAACAATGATTATTTAGTTAAAAGTAATAATGCATACTGCATGCGGTTCCAGCTGTCGATAACTCTCGATAATTTTCGGATTCAGAATTTTTTTTATTGGGTTGCCCATAGTGGTGGTATGATGTTATAATATACCCATTGATGAAGGGATCTGCAAAAACTTTTGCGTCAGTTGGGATTCAAACCCACATTCCACCCTTTTAAGAGGCGTGTGCTGAACGGTTGCACTAGCGACGCCCGTTTTTTCTTTTCCTTTCTATGCTGCATGGCGTCTATCTGTCAGCAATAAACCGTCAGCGGTCTGGTGTGGGTGATCGCTATCGGCACTAAACCACCGATGCTGACAAATATTGGGTATCGTCAGTTAATCAGAATTCTTTCTATTTCACCTCTCTCAGCGGTTATATGGTGCCGGTAAAGCAAAGGCTCGGCACGCGCCGCAGGTAGGGTGAAATGTGGTTCGAAAACTATCTAACGCAAAAGCTTTTGCACAGCACTCTTTACCATCAAGTATATTGCGATTTTCAGACTATTGGTGTACTTTAGGAATGAAATTTATAAATAAATTGGAAATTATCTCGTAATTATTATTTGAGCCAATAGGTCGTGTGCTCTGTTGAAAGGGCTGGCTTATAGGGCCTGATACACGCGTTTCGACCTTGATGGGTCGCATCAATTGGGCGGTACCTTTCTCATCTTTAGGCAATCGTCTCGGGGCGCTCAGTCTCTTACACTAAGAGTAGGCGACGACAAATATTTTACACTGTATGTCATGTGAAATTACCACCGAACACACAGTGTTGTACACTTAACCGTGAGACCGTCAACGTCGAAAAACGAGTATCGGACATTATAAGTCTGCCCTTTTAACAGACTATATGACATGTTGGCTCAAATAATGATTACGGGATAAGTTAAAATTTGAGTGTGATCTTGGGAAAACACTCGAAACAAAAGGTATAAAATTTCGGAACTCTCTTCATCGTTTTGTATGTATTTCTTTTCTACATAACCTCATATCTCACAACTACTATTTGAGCAAATGTCATGTGATCTGTTATGGGCTCTTCTCCAGCTCGATTCAAGTTTGTGGCGGCGATTGTGTAGATCGTTCGTTGTCGTCTACCTCTTTATGGGAGGATGTAGGGACCGCCGAGAGTATTGGCAACAGACGAAGGGTCTACTCGACTGACGAGGTTGCAAGGCCGAAGCACGTGTATCGGGCTGTACAAGAGCCCATAGCAGACCATATAGCATGTTGGCTCAAATGATAATTATGAGATATACTGAAATTTGAGAGTGGTCTCAATAAAATACTTGAAAGAAACGGTATTACCGCATATACTTTGTCATGAACATTATCCGATACAATATGCTATGCGGCGACAAATATTTAGGCCGATCTCATTCCTTGAACATGAAATTTTCATAGAGGTGCCAATAATTATCTGAGAGCTTAAATCTCTTGCTACAATTTCACGTCGTGAGTTTTTCAAAACGTTCCTCTATGACGCTGTGACATCCAAAACAAAATTTTTTTCACATCCCCTTTCACCCTCATTTTTACGACGCATTATGATTCGTTAGAATTAGAAAAGCACACCATCGTGTAGAGAAACTTTCGTAGTATTTTAGTCAGTTGTTTTATTAGCAGTTTCTTCCAGAGCGGAGAAAACATTCTCAATTGAATAACAACTTGTCGATGGTCCCGCTTGACCTGCCTGCTCTCCCCCTTCCCCTCCCTCACAACACGGCCGTCGCCCTCTCGAATAGCCAGCAAACAACCTGCCGAAAATGCAAAACTTCATCTCATCTACTCTGTTAAACCGTATTTCCTGAAAATAAGTATAGTGGTAGAATTAGGAAACATTATGCTATGGGATGATTCAAATGCTCTAGAGAAAGAGCTCTGTCCGGCGACATTCGAAGTACAAATCAAATGGTCCACGAAGATCAAAGATCAAAAAAGCTTTTTCGAAAAGCAAACACATTTTCGAGTTTTTGGAAGCTTGTGCTATTAAATGAGTACTGGTACTCTAAGGAAGGAGTTTTGTTCAACGAAATATAAGCGAGATAAGAAAAAGAACATGTGATCGTGTGAAGCATGCTTCTATTTTGGGTGTCGTAGCGTTATGAAAGGTGGTTCAAATGGTGACCGTAAGGCTCTTGCTAGAGATTGAGGCATGCGACCAATTCCTAACTCTCCTGTGAAAGATTTCTACCAAGCGAATAAGATCGGCTTAAATATATGTCGCCATTTAATCAAATTGTGTCCCTTATCCATTGTTGCAACCTTTGCTACTGCACATGCTCCACTTATTTTGCGTAATCTACATTTCAATTAATTGCCCTCAAGACGATTTCTCTGTTGCTCCCATAAGTTCCATATTCTCAAAGTAACTTCAGTATGACCTCGTGGCAGATTATTGTGACCGTCCATGAGTAAACAACAGTACTTTTCTATATATAGATTCTATATAAAGATGGATAGCTTTGAAAAACTGTCAGGCATATTGGAATTTAAGCGTAGTCTTTATGGAACACTCGAAACAAACGGTATGATATTTCGTAAATACAAACCAAGAAAAAGTGTGTAAAACTACCCATTCATCGATTATTTTCATTTTATGGTCCGTGTAAATAGTGCGCCAACGTCTTCTCTATGCCAGGAGGTTGAATACCCCTTAAGAGAATTGGCTATGTCGAAAGGGTTTGTGCAATTGACGAGGCTAGAATGGGTGAAACAGACGTATTCCACTGTTTAAGCGCCCATAACAGACCACATGCATAGCTCATGCCTAACCATGAAAGTATACAGACTGTTGATTTGCACAAATATTTATAGTTTCCAATAATGTGGAGTGCTGTGCAAAGACGTTTGCGTCAGCCGGGTTCGAACTCAGATCCCACTTTTTCCGGGATTGTATGCTAACCGTTGCACCACCGACGCTCGTTTTGCACAGCACTATTTTTACGCTATAACACGTTATCTGTCAACAGCCAACCGTCTACGGTCTGGCGGGGCAGCCTCTCTCGGCATTGAACTCACTTGTGTTGACAGATATTGGGTTTCAATAATCAATCCCAATTCATTTATTTGACCGTTTCTTGCGGTGTCATGGTCTTATAATATACCCAATAATGTGTTATGTATAATAATGTATAATGTTATGTGATAATATGTGATATATAATGATATAATGTATAATATGTAAGAATGTGAAGTGCTGTGTAATCTCGGCTGACGCAAATGTTTATGCAAAGCACTCCACATTATTAGGTATATCATAAGACCATGACACCGCAAGAAACGGTCAAATAAATGTATTGCAATTACTTATAGTTCGTATTCGGAAAGAAAAATCGAATACTTTTGAGTTACGAAAAATTTTGTGTGAAATGCCACACGCTTATCTAGGGGAAATTATTAGAGGAAATTTAATGTATATTTATCGTTTTCTTTATTGTTGTCATTCCACGTTCATTGTCTTTGCAGGTACGCCCTTTTTAAGTTGCCGATTAAGGAAATTGCGCGCTAATCCTTATCCTTGAATAAAGGGCACCCTTACCCTCAAAATTTCAGCCACTATTTTATTGTATTGCATTCGGTCATCTCAAGAAAACACTGACGAAGAGATAATCGGTGAGTGGTCAAAAAAGGTGTTGTTGCCCAGAATCCTGCCCTATCTGATGGCAATGGGAGATGTTTAAGGAAGCGTATAGCTCAGCTGCAAGGAATCTGTTGGCTTCTGCGAACCTTACATGCCGAATATCTGAAAGTCGATTATAGAACTAACATAGCTACGATTAGCGGGCAAATGATGAGTACGAGAATACGGTCTCATGTTCAGATGATACGCGACAATAATACGCAGAAAGGCCAACAAGTCATGTGGTCTGTTATAATGCTGACTTATAGAGCCCGATACACGCGTTTCGACCTTGACAATCTTATCAGTGGGGCGGTACCCTTCGTCTTTGCCAATCCTCTCGGTGCGCTCAGTCCCCTATACTAGGAGTAGGCAGCGACGAACAATTTACACCGTCCACTAAGTGAAATTGTTACCGAATACACTGTTGTACACTCAAATGCTCTTGGCTGATATAGTTAATATATCAAAAATTTCGTTTTTCCTTAAAACCATGCTTAAATTCCAACATCTTGTAAAACGTTCGTCGTCGCCCACTCTTAGTATAAGGGATTGAGCGCATCGAGAGGATTGGCAAAAGACGAGGGGTACCGCCAGACTGATGAGGCTGTTAAGGTCGAAACATGTGTACCGACCCTATAAGTTAGCCCTATAACAAACCTCATGACATACTGTATCAAATAATAGTTGCGCGTTGATAATATGTTCACTTGGAGAGGATTTCTTATACCTATTGAAGGATAAAGCTTTTAGAACGCATGAGCGTGAGTTTTAGCAGAAGTGCCTGTAGAAATCTCTTCTTTAAAATCCTATTATTCATGACGATGAAGTGCTGTGAGCATCAACCATGTAATGCCAACATTACCCGCTGTAAAGTTGAAGAAACGGGCTAATTACTCCAAAAGTTAGGCGTATTTCACTACTCAATGTGATTACTAATGAAAACTGTCTGTGATAGAAAACCTACAGCATTAGTAAAAAATCGTAGCATCGTAGCATCGTAGCATCGTAGACCCCGATGGAGAAAATGCACTCATAGGAAAAAAGTGCTCCACAAAATGATGAATGCGAACTCGATCAAGGCCTACCCCGGTTAGGTGGCAGAAAAGCCTCTGTATGACTGTTTTTTGGAAGTAGCACATGATAGAAAACATGTTTTTTATCAACACCCTTACAACATAAATGAGGGAAACGTTGAGGAGAAGGAGATGAATGCGCATTGTTAGTCCAGGAATGTAACTTTCATCTTTAGAATTAAGGATGTTTCGCATAACTGTGTGTTTTTCTTATTCATTAGAAATGTGACTGCAGAAAATCTACCTTTTTTGCAGTGATGATGTTTTCTCAGAATTGAAATACTTCACATTTCTATTTTCCTTTTTGTTCTCTTATTTTTTCTCCCCTTCTTCCTACCATGAATGGCTCCACAAAAGTTTCCTCTGCGACACTTGACTTTTGTGTAGCGATAAGGTGCCTCTAACACATAAACTTAACATATAAGTACCAATAACCATTACGAGAAGCTCAAATGACAACTGAACTACTATTGGCGTAAAACGTAATCTCTTTTTTCGCTCTTACAGCGTT